TTTGTGTTGGGTTGGGGGGGGGGGGGTGTGGGGGAAGTAATTTCATATTATTCACCACTTTGCCAAAGACGGTAATCTCTCTGCCTCATAGGAACAGCCATCCTAGGTCAGATGTCTGTACACATTTGATACATATAAACAGTATTACTTAGGGTTTGGATGTGGCTTGTTGGTTGGGTTTTTTTTCCCCCTGAAGGGGATCATGAGAGGAAAGCGGGTCAGACAGAAAAAAAGAGAAATATTTCTCAGCTTTGCTCCCGACATGGCCATGAAAAGACTGAAATTCTTCAGAAGTCACTCAGTCTTTACCTCTAGGTCCCCTTTGTAAAAGCAGCCGTCACGACAAGTTGGACCGGGGCTGCCTTCCCAGCGAGGCCCCTCTACCTGCACTCCGCCACGAAAGTCCTAAAGTACTTTTCTGTTATTTTTTTTTTTCACCCTCTGTGGCAACTTCTCTTGGTGTCATCTCAGCGCTGTCTCAGATTACATTGTTTGAGATCTGCACTTTGAACACCGTCTTAAGGCCCTGCGCTGCCTTTTGAACCGAGATGCAGGCAATATACTTTTAGATCAGTTCCCCATCGCTTTTTTCTCCCCGTAGGTATGGTAACAGGTCCGGGCTGCCGCGCTTGCTCGCTGCCGGGCGAGCAGCAGCTCCCGGGGCAGGCCCGGCGCCTCAGCCTCCTCCGAGCCTTTCCTTACGAGCATCCTTGTTGCTAACAGGCTGCTGTGAAAACAAAACAAACAAAAACAAAACAAAAACCCCAAACAATAACAACAACAAAAGCCAAACCCTCCAAAACCCCAAACAACACTCTACCCCACAACCCGTTTTGATATGAAACGGAAAACATGAAGAAGCCTTTTGCTATTGTTGCTGTTGTTGTGGCGGTGATAGTGGTGGTAATGTGGTTTTTTGTTGGGTTGTGGGTTTTTGTTGGTTGGTTGTTGGTTTTGTTGTTTTTTTTCCACAGCCTGCTGTGCCACTACATGCACACTTCATGGCACTCAAGCATGAACTCCTATTTACAGCAGGAAAAAATGCCCTCTGCGATTCTCTTACATTTGTAGGCAGTGCCAGGGAGTGGGGGAGTGGAAGGGAATAGCCATTCTTCACTAGATCCTTTTATCTCTCAAAATACGGGGTGCCCACGGTCTCACGTCGATAAAGGAGCAGTTATATTGGGAAACGTGCATTTCTTTCATCATTTCAGATTTGAAACATGCTGCTGCTCCCCCCGCCTCTTTCGCCATCCCATTATCCAAGTTCTGCATTGATTACCGGGAGACTGAAAATCAGCGCGTTGGAAGAAGCAGGAGTTTAGACGGAGGCACATATTTTAATTTAGAGAAGCTATACAGAGACTAAGTTCTCGTGAATGTTCTCGAGGGAGACTGGAGATTGAAATGTATTTACACCCACTCACACACCACACCCCCCTCCGAAATATCTTAATCCCAGTCAAGACATAACTAGTTTATACAAAGAATTTTATGATAAAAGGCAATATCACAATGTCATTAAAAAAAACTCCATAAAATTGTTAAAGAGCAGTTTGTTTGCATTTCTCCTGATTGATATGTAAATACAGTTTGAACTGTGTTTGCTCGGTCTCTAGTGCTTAATAAAGAGATGAATTCACCTTTCTGTGGAACAAGTAAACAGACTTTAAACTAAGCCGACATCAGACAAAGTGGAAACGAGTTTATTTAATCGAAACTAAATCTAGTTTAAGAAAGATAAGTCAGTGTACATAATAATCCATTACAGTAATTACACCCACCACCAAATATGTGTTTATGAGGTTGTCGAGACACAATAAAATTCATTTATTTCTCCCGAAGTCTATAATATGAAGTCCCTGGCTGGATCACTATCGAATATGCTAACTCCAATATTTCGGGGGTGGGAATAATATTTCTTGTTTGTGTTAATGACTTTCAGTGCTCCTCACTTTTGAACATTCCTGTGTTTGAAAAGATGCAAACATTATTTACATCTGAAGGGGAAATGCCGACTTAACCACAGCACTCTCCCCTCGGTCTTGTGTTTTAACTTCGAAAGAAACTAACACTAATTTAAAAAAAAAAAAAAAGGAAAAAAAACCAAACCGTAGAGTTAACCCTGCTCTCACTTCCTCCGTGGGAGCTGGCAGCCCTGTGCCACGGGCCAGGAATTCCCAACACTTTATTCTTTCAGCAGAAATAACAGCACTAAGCTCCAGACACACACACCCCGCCGCCCCCCACCGAGATTAACACGATGTCATAGATCTGAAACGAATATTTTGCTTAGAGAGAAAAAAAAAATATTCTTTGGGTTAGTCGAGAATGTCACTGTATAAAGTAGGACATAGTATAAAGAATGAAAGGTCTCGAAATTATGGTTGACACACGTGATGTTCTCTAGTTAAAAATAAAGGGGAGTCGGGGGAAGGCAGGAAGAATCCTATAATTTCCCTTCTGTCTTTTCCCCTTTTTCCCGTCCAGACTAACACTGGCTATCTTGTATAAATAAAAGACTGGAGCTTTCTAAAGCTGCTACTTAAACTGGAGGTTAGGTTGTTTACCTCCCGGGCAAGCTTCTTTCTTTCTCTTGTAAAATATGAGCATTTCATAATACCTTTGTAATTCAGAGGTCTTGCAATGACTGCGATTCGCTTCCGTGGTTTAACTGGGGGGATCGAGAGGGGGGGGCAAAAAAAAAAAACAACCACAAAACGAAACCGACCAGCAGATTCGAGGGAAAACACACTGCGCGATGTTTTAGTATGGGGGACTGATTTTGTTACACTTGTAAAAGGAGATATCTGGGACCCGAAAGATGGGAAATTATCTGTATTTCAGGCTTAGCCGATGCGAGCTGCCTAACATTATATGTTTTATGCATTTACAGCAAAGTTTATATCTAACTGCCTTGCATTATCCATAATATTTATCTTCCAAGCGCCTTCGTTGTCTCAGCCGGGCGCGCACCCCGCGCACCCCCCCCCACGTGCGCGCACCCGCGCTTTCTCCGCATCTCCTTTACAAGTTTCCCAAATCGCTTCACACAAAGGAAGAAAGAAAGAAACAAACCAAAACCAAAACAAAAACAAAAAAAAAGAAAGCCCCACACAAAACCAAAAGCAACCCGCGTTACACTGAGGTGCAGCCTGCAACTAACCTCCCTCCTGGGTAACGAGGTGGCCATGTGAGGGAGGATCTGTGTGTGTGCTAGCGGGGGTGGGTACATGTAGAAAATTAAATGCGATCTGTTAAAGAAAGTTAATTCGAACTACATATCGTACACAATAAACTATCTTTTTATTTTGATTATAAATAAGGTGACTGTACTTCCATTAAAATACAAGTACATAGGAAAACCTGGTAGAAATTATATTTTTTACAAGGTATTAAAACTGGACGATCTTTAAATCGGCCACATGTTCTATACTGTCAGCACCTTCTTCATTAATTTTTTCCTAGTGACATTAAACTTTTACCTTCTTTCTCCTCCGTGCCTTTGGCATTTGATTTTCTACTCATGGAATACTTTGCTTTCTCTTGCAAGAAGTCTCTGAGGTGCCCCCCTCTCCATCTCCCTCACCCCCCCAATAACTGGGTTAATGAATTTGGACTCGATCCCTTCCCTCTCGAGTTTGTGAATCCCACGCGTTTGCTCGTCACTTTTGCACGCTGAGGACTGATCCTGTATCCCGTTAACTCCCTGGCGCAGCTGCCCTCTGGGAATAGGGTCCGGTCCCTGAGAGGGGCAGGGGCCTTTCAGGCTTTGGTGGCGTCCCGGGTTGTGTTGCCATAGTTTTTAAAAAAAAAGAAAAAAAAAAGGAGAGAGATGCGGGGAAGGGAGAGTTCGGAGAGAGACCCAAAGGGAAATAAAAAAAGGAATATTCGTAATGTGTATAATTTATTAGAAGCTTCTTAGGAACTATATTTAAGCCAAATATCTACATAAGTTACAACAGGAAAAGGCGGCGTGCGCAAATAACAAACTGCCAGAGGATTTACGATGGGGCGATCAGTGTCCATAAAAAAGGTAGGGATTCGTTTGGCTGATTGTATTTTTTTTCTTTTTACAACAAAATATACAGGCTACTAAAAACTATGGGTTTAGTCCAACTTTTGACAGCATTATACAGCTACAGGTTCACATCAAACGTAAGGAGAAAAATAAAAGCCAAGCCTTTGATGACTTCACTTCTCCATCCGCTGGCCCGGGCGGCGGGGCTGCGAGAGGAGCCCGGGGGAGGGGGGAAGCTGCTTCTGGTGTCTGGGTGACGCAAATGCGGTTTTTTTTGGGGAAAACCACCCCATCCCCCAAAATCTCTATATTTACATGCAAGTCCTAGACGCTGGCAAAGTGTACATCTGAAATCCACGTCTTCGGACCATGCCTAACGATGGTCACCTTTCTGCAGACTGCTCCGTGGTTATTAGTCAGATTTTTTTTTAACACCCCATACAACAACCTTGGGGGAAAAAAATAAAAGACCACAAACCATTAAGAGTAACCAAAAAAAAGAGTCTGTCTCTCTCTCGTTTAGAGGTCCTCAGAGAACAACTCAGTAAAACGGCGGGGAAAAAAACAACGTTAAAACAGAAAGGGGAGGGGATAAAAAAAAAAAAAAAAGAGAGAGAAGAAGAAGAAAAGAAAAACACCCAGTAGTTTGGACAAGACAGAGATTTGTATGACTGGGAAAATCTGAGCTTTTTTTCTTTTTTTCCTTATTTTTTTCTGTTGCTGTGTTTAATCCTTTCACCAGGTCCTACCGTATAGCAAGGTGGAGCAAGACATGGCAGTGCCATAGTCAGAAGTAGAAGAGTTTAGGTGAGACAAACTGGAGACTTGGCTCTGCAGAGAGGAAGGGCTGGCCGAGTGCTGTCCCATGTCTGGAGACTGCCCCGCACTGTTTGTCTGGTGGCTCTGATGCTGTCCGAGGCTGT